AAGGTCACAAAATGGGGCAAATTCACTTAAGTGTCTCATTTAACAATAAAAATTTTGGACTCAATTGTGGTCGTAGGTTGTGGACTACCTGTATGTATTGAAATTGTGTAGACGCAACTTTTTACCTGAATAAACATTACATATGATTATCTAAGTTGTTATTAAAGATTCACTACAACCCAAAAAATAAAATCTAAAATACAAGATTTCAAATCACAGAAAAAAATACCAAAGCAAAAAGCAGTGAAGACCATTCACCCAACCTGTTGCTGGAAAAGACTGTAACAGTTGCAGTCAAATACTGCCTGAGTGAATCTAACTAGACACAAGGGAGAGCCTTGTAAGAGCCTACCTTATGACAATAAGAGTAGTGAGAAAGGCTTATTTCTCCATCCTTATTGCATTTTCCAGTTGTTGGCCATTGGCCCTATTCAGGTCAACCCAATCCCTTCTGAGCTAGGTTGGATTGATGGAGCATCTTCAAGGTCCCTATTGGTGACTGTTCTTCAGACCTGATAGATATAATAGCTTAAGTGATTTGTCCAAGAAGACTTTTGCTATATATTCCAATTTTGTTGGTTCTAAGTCCTATCTTTAATTTACAGTTTACAGCAAGAAATTATATTTTACAAAGAATCTGGGTGGGCCATATTTTAACAGCATAAGTTCTATAGAGTACATTTTTTAGCAGCGCATATTACAAATGACAATTATCCAGTATTTTTTATTAAACAGCTGATTAACTCCTATTCAAAGCTTTTTTAAAACTTGATTTTATATTGTGGCTTTTTTATATGACATATCTGGGATGATGCTCTTTTACAAAACAATGATGGAAATTTCTAAAACTTTGGAATATTTTAGCTGAAAGTTCACCCTTTGAGTATGTGCTACTGGATCAGAGATGATATTCAGCAGGTTCTAACCAGTTCTGGAGAACCAGTAGTGGAAATTTTGAGTAGTTTGGAGAACCAGCAAATACCACCTCTGACTGGGAATTTTACAGTATCCTTCCCCTGCCATGCTCACTAAGCCGCGCCCACAGAACCGGTAGTAAAAAAAAATGTGAATCCCACCACCGTACTGGATAGGATTTTTGTCTGTCCCTTAAGTTTTCTTTTGATTTCCATATCAGCTATACTATCTGGATTCTTCTTTTTGTTTGCCATTTTTGTCTTTGTTGTCATGCAGAATTTGTTGGTTCTTTTTATCTTTGAAAGATTAACTTTTTATTGACTTTCCTGCAGAGGAAATTTTGTTACATTGAGGTGCCTATGGCAAAAAGAATGCCTTTCAGAAAGAGGGTCTGAGAATTTTCCACCACTACTGAGCATCCATTTTGCTTCATTGATTTAGCAGAAAGACACAGTCAAGGCTTTTGTTCATTACCAGTAGCTCACTAAAAAGGTCACAGTGGATTGTTCCTCTAAATTCCCAACATAGGAAATAAGTCTTATTGTGATTTCAGCAGCTCGGGATTCCATAATGATAATTTCAGTACAAAAGTCATCTAACTGACTTTCTGTCATGACCCTCAGCAGAATTGGGTTTAATGGTTCAAGCTTCAGTAGATGGCATTCAACCATCCACACTGGGCAAATCTACTGTTCTTCCCTCAAAGTTGAACAGTAAATCAAACTCACATACGGTACCTTGCCAGCTAAGAAAAAAAAAGGGAGAACAGTTACTTCCCTTGCATTCTGGGCACACTATTTTGGTTGCAGGCCCCTAAAAGGACTAACATATTGCAATCTCTCCCCTCCCCCCAGTTATTCTTCAAGGAGGAATCTTAGGCATAGGAACCTATGATAGATTGAGAAATATTTGGAACCTTTATCAGTAAAAACGGAACTGGCTAAAGTTGCCACTCCACTAGGAAATGAATGGATCAAAAGTTATTTTTTCAAAATGAGAAAATCATATTTCTAGTATGATTGTAATTGATTTGCTTCCCTTTAAAACAAAGATGAAGAATTATTTGCTTTGATTTTGATTTTTGTTTTCATTTGAAATTTCAGATGATTAGATGGAAACCCCAGTTTTATCTTCTCTAACTCTTTCTCTTGCAGAAAAAATCCACAGCACAAGTTGGAATATAAACACACAGCTCCTCCAGGTAAAGTGCTTTTATTCTAATGTATATGGAGAATACATTTTTCTTAATGTAACTAATGAGGTAAATTACTACCTGTGCTGAGGTAGTACTATGGAAGTGTTGCTCATATAGTATAGTTAATTCTGCTAGAATGGGAATTGATGTGATTTTGGAAATTCTAGCATTTCTTATTATAGTTCAGGTAGTTTGATTTGGCTGTTGACTATAAATTAAACAAAAACAATGTTGCTTATTAAAACTACACTAATATAACACATTAAAATATATTTTAGTAAAATTAACAGATATTAAAGATTGAACAGAAGTGTCATTTGAACCAAGTTTGGTGAGTATTTTGGAAATCTCAGATTACTTGCCAGCTAACAAAAGGTTTCTCTTCTGAGCTACCATACATTTGAATTACTGCAAGCACTTTTAGGTCCAGTGGTTAAGCCAAACAAAAAGAATTCATGGCAAAATTGTTAATTTTCCCATCCAGCAGAATATTAAATCAAGCAGATGTAAGGACTTATCCATAAGTTGGCAGAAGCTATTAATTAAGCAATTGGCAAGTGAGAAGGATAAGCTGGCCAGTCACAATAAGAGTGGAGAATTATATTTAAAATATTTTGAATTTTGTTGTCAAGGATGAATTGCTTCAGGTTTAACCAAACTTTCTTAGAACGAAATGAGGTAGCTGTTAAGTTGTAAAATTTAAAGCTGCTATAGATTACTAACCACATTCCATAATGACATAAATTCACAAAGTTAAAGAACTCAGGCAACTGTGAATGAAAACTAATATGAGCCAAAAATTCAGGTGGCAAAGCAATATGCGAGCCTCTACAAAAATTAGACCAGATTCTAATCTTAATGTGGAATTAGATATTCATCAGGGAATTTGCAGCAGGGATTTAAAAAATTAAATTGGACAGTTTTGATGTAATTGAATTATGATGCTACCACATTTGCACTTCATATAAAATATCACCAATATATTAAATATAATTATACACACAGATTTTATTCTTGTTACTGGAGTAAAACTATTGCAGTATCAATATATAAAAAAGGAGCTTGCTGTATATGGTAAGAAAGATACAGGGGCAACTTTAGCAGGTGGGGGAAGGGTATAAAAAGATGGTGGGCGTGACTATCTTTTTAAAATATGGGATGAGATACATGGAAAAGGGGTAGGGCTTTGATGAAGTAGTTTTCATTGCCAGGGTACTTTTTTTTAGTAGCCCTATCTGTGTGGTTGCTATGACAAGCTATATTCCAGTCATGTCCATAGAAATAGCTTGAAAATAATAAAGTATAGATTTGCCATGGCAGAGCAGAGTATTTCACACTCTTAATCTCAATAAAAAACAGTGTGAAACAATGATGCATCTAGGCCTCTTTCCTTTTTGCCACAAATCTTAACAAAATTTGAATAACACAGTCTCCTAGTACTAATAGGCAAAAAGATCTGCTTTGGTTCTTTCATTCTAAAAACACTTCAATCTCCTTTACAACCTAAGTTGGCATGAGATGAAGTCTTCAAGCTCTTACCCTCTAAAGTACAGAGGAACAACTAGTTGTCAACTGTGATAAAAAGAAAACAATTGTTTTCTCCCAAAGTCCTGTCATCTGCTGTTTCCTATAAAAAAAAAATCAACTGTGTTAGTATCAATTTTAAGTACTTAACTATTTGCGTATTTCTTTTCAAGTATGAACAATCAAGTTCATCCAGGCCAAGAGCTGTCATCGCTTCCCATGGTTTGAATGCTATCTTTCAGTGTGCCAATTGCAAAGTAATGTTTATATCCTAGCTCCAACTTCTTACTTTATAGTCACATGCATTTCATATATTGCATAACGGAAATTTGCCCTTTGCCTGATTTGCTTCTTTGTAAAGTGTTTAGAATGCACACTTTTATTAGCCAAAAAATCCTGAAACTGGAAGAGCCCTGGTACAGAACATGTTTGGCTATTCTGTGAACCAAAATAAATAAAGAAGTTATAAAGCCTCTTCCTGAAATTTGGTGGCAATATGAGAATAGTTAAAACTCCTCTAAAGAAGTGCAGATGTAGGAGAATTTTAACAGGTGTTCCCTTTCACTTTTCAGTTTTAATAAAATTCATAGCTGTTTGGGTTGTTTTATTGGTAATAATTTCTTTTTCTTTTCTCTAGAATCTGAAAGAAGGCAGACAAGATCAAAAATTACAAGAAAAGGTGAGACATTTTTACATTTTCAAAAAGCACTGCTCTAAATACACAGGGGAATTCAGTAATTAGCTTTGGTCACCATCCTACCCAGATAAATTAGTATAAAAATTACTAAATCCATCATTGTAAAACAAAGATAAAAATGCTTCGAGGGGAAGTCCCAGTTTGTTTATGTAGGTGACACTGTTCAGAGGCCCTATAAAATTAGAAAGAAAGCTCATTTTTCTCAATATCCTATTGACATGGAAGTGCTAGATATATGTGCTTTGTACAGGCAGTCCTTAACTTACATTTGTTTAGTGATCGAAGTTACAACACACTGAAAAAAGTGACTTATGACTGTTTTTCACACATAACGTTATATGATCTCATGATCAAACTAGGAGCACTTGGCAACTGGCTAAATTTATGACAGGTACACTGTCCCAAGATCACGGAATCACCATTTGTAACCATATCAACTAGCTTCTGACAAGCAAAGTCAATGGGGAATTCATTTAACAGCCACATGATTCATTTAACAACTGCAGTGATTCAGTTATCTGTGGCAAAAAGGACCATAAAATGTGGCAAAACTCACTTCATAAATAAATGTTGGGCTTGATTGTGATCATAAGTGGAGGGCTAACCTGTATACCCTTAAAGAAGTTCCCCTTACGTGAATAATGACATATTTTAATCTGTTCATGGAGATCAACGTTTCTGTAAGTATACCAATTCTCTTAGGTAAAAAGAGATTAATGTATTTTAATGTAATGCTTGGATTTGACATTTGGTTTCTTTTATAAGCAGTTTGAGCCATAATATAAAATAGTGACCTTTTTATATACAGTATGTTTCTTGTGGCTTTGTAGACTAAGCTGTGGAACATAGTATCAGTTATAGAAATGACCCAGGGCCAACCGCACTAGCATATGGTCTCACAAGGGGTCTGAGGATCTCAGATATCTCATCTCAGTACCTAATGGCAGTCAGGCTACCTCTGGTGAGCACATGGAGGGCTGTGCGGCCCCCTAAAGAAATGCCACCCTACACAATTACTGACCCACTGCCAAACTGGTCATGTTGGAGGATGTTGCAGGCAGCAGAACGTTCTCCACGGCATCTCCAGACCCTGTCACGTCTGTCACATGTGCTCAGTGTGAACCTGCTTTCATCTGTGAAGAGCACAGGGCGCCAGTGGCGAATTTGTCAATCTTGGTGTTCTCTGGCAAATGCCAAACGTCCTGCATGGTGTTGGGCTGTAAGCACAACCCCCATCTGTGGACGTCGGGCCCTCATACCACCCTCATGGAGGTCTGTTTCTGACTATTTGAGCAGCCACATGCACATTTGTGGGCCGCTGGAGGTCATTTTGCAGGGCTCTGGCAGTGTTCCTCCTGTCCCTCCTTGCAGAGGTAGTGGTCCTGATTCTGGATTGTTGCCCTCCTACGGCCTCCTCCATGTCTCCTGATGTACTGGCCTGTCTCCTGGTAGCCTGGCCTGTCTCCTCCATGCTCTGGACACTACGCTGACAGACACAGCAAACCTTCTTGCCACAGCTCGCATTGATGTGCCATCCCGGATGAACTGCACTACCTGAGCCACTTGTGTGGGTTGTAGACTCCGTCTCATGCTACCACTAGAGTGAAAGCACCGCCAGCATTCAAAAGTGACCAAACCACCAGCCAGAAAGCATAGGAACTGAGAAGTGGTCTGTGGTCACCACCTGCAGGACCACTCCTTTATTGGAGATGTCTTGCTAACTGCCTATGCTTTCCATCTGTTGTCTATTCCATTTGCACAACAGCATGTGAAATTGATTGTCAATCAGTGTTGCTACCAAAGTGGACAGTTTGGTTTCACAGAAGTGTGATTGACTTGGAGTTACATTGTGTTGTTTAAGTGTTTCTTTTATTTTTTTGAGCAGTGTATATATTTTTGCTACCAAAAAAGGCACCGGGTCTTATTTTGGGGGGATGTCATCCAGGGATGAGATCTGACTGGTATAACTACCAGTTCTGTCTATTAGCGTCACGCAACTGCAATTTACTACCTGCTGAACTCTCTGGACAGCTGAGCAGTGCTGCGTGCAAGTGCGCAGTGGTTGGAAAAGCCCTTTTTTTCCCTGCTTTTTCAACTGCAGCTGTGTCGCGCAAAGCAGCTGCAGTTGAAAAAGCAGGAAATAAAGGTCAGGTAAGAGCCCGGGCGGGTAGGTGGGCCACAACAGCAGCAGACATAGAACCAGTTCTATGTCTGCTGCTCTTTGGAGCAACCGGTTCTACAGAGGTGGACAGAACCGGTAGAATCCCACCCCTGATGTCATCTACTGACTAACCTTTTCGCTGTCAGAGGCCTTTAGGAACTTTTGCAGCCAGCAATGCTTTCCTGAAGGCCTCTGCAGCCGATAACAGCTCCGGATCGATCTGGTATTAGCTACAGAGGCCTTCAGGAAAGTCTTGCCAGCCTTACTGGCTGCAGAAGAAATGGGCTGGCAAGGCAGGTGTTGGGGTGTGCGAGGCCTAGCTACAACTGTCCAAAGGTAAATAGTAGGCAGCTCCACCACCCCCATCCCCACCCTAGTTTAATTTTTACCCGTCCACTTTAGAGTGGGCAGGATCTTAATTAGGGCTTATTTGGGGGGTTGGGCTTATATTGGGCGCACGTGTAAAAATCAAGCTTGGACTTACTTTCAGAGTAGGTCTTATTTTCAGGGAAACAGTTGTTGTGTGACATAATCAGGTCACTGTACGCTTGCTGCTAATTTTTTTAAACCTGCACCCATGACTTAATCACATAATTTACTTTCAAGGGCATGATTTTTAGAAAGAGAACTACTGATGTGCTAAAGAAATAATTATCCATAGCAAATTGAATTCTGGTTACTTCAGGCTACAAATGCAAGTAACATGTTCCCTAGGAAAAAAACCAAGTAATTTTGGATCACTGTTCAAAGGAGAGCATTCATATAAGATGTTAAGTCTGCAACAGAGATGAAATCAAAGGATTTACAGAAATTGAGTTTTATTATTATTATTATTTTAAAGTGCAGTATATTAGCAATTCAATAGTTAGCTGTTGAAGGTGCTTAATGTTCAAATACAGCTAGATAAGAAGGAAAGAGACAAAATTGACTATATGAAATTATTTGTTTCACTCTGCAGAGGGAAGGAAGGGGACAGTTGCTCTTGAAATTGTAAAGCAGGCAAGAAGAGGAAAGAAGATTATGCTTCTTTATATTCCATTTAAATACTGGTACTGTAGAGGAAGCAATGATCCAGTGGTGAGGAGAGAGGAAGCCAGACTTATGAAAGGATAGAGAGGGCAGAAAACGTAACAGGAGTGAAAGAGGTCTTGATTACATTAGAATGCAACAAAGAGGACTTGGGGTTTTTCATCATCCAGCATACAAAATGTTCTCTTTTCTAAGATAGTAGAAGATGTAATCACATTCTGTCCCCAATTGCCTGTTCTTGCCAACTATATCGTTTCAGGCAAAATGAAGAATGAAAAATAAAATGGGATTACTGGAGCAAAATTGTGATCAGCTCACTCACTTGTCTGTTGCTTCCTGGTGTTTTTTTTTTTTTTTGAAGGTTAAAGCTTATCAAAAGCTAGAACTTATGTTTGCACTTCACATTGTCATTTTCAAATATTCTTGGAAGAACTATGTGACCTGGCTAAAGTCTCTCTGCAGTCCTGGCTCAGTAGTTTTGCATTATATATTGTGATACAGGAAATTGAAACGGCTATTCTTAGGAATGCTGCAAAGAGTTTTCATTCCAGGATATCTGATTTATATGTATCTTTAGAGAAAAAAAAAATCTAAATTCATATTGACACACTTGGGAAATGGAATCATTTTTGTATATAGGGTAGACCTCGACTTATGACCACAATTGAGCCCAAAATTTATCTTGCTAAGTGAGACATTTGTTAAGTGAGTTTTGCCCCATTTTATGACTTTCCTTGCCACAATAGCTAAGTGAATTATTGCAGTTGTTCAGTTAGCAACACGGTAGTTAAGTGAATCTGGCTTCCCCATTGATTTTGCTTGTCAGAAGGTTGCAAAAGCCACTTCAACCATCATAAATATGAACCTGTTGCCAAGGAGCTGAATTTTGATCACATGACCAAAGGGATGCACTTATTTTAGTGCCGTTGTTTGAACAGTCACTAAATGAACTGTTGTAAGTTGAGAACTAGCTATATAGTAATTCTTTTTTTTTTTCCAGGAGAGCCTTAGGAAAGAAAAATAAACTGACAAAAAATAAAAAATAGCTTTGACTAACCCAGAATATTACAATATATACATATCTTGAGGCTTCTCATCTAAATGAGTTTTTTTCTAAATATGGTGATAATATCCCATCTATTACATTGAATGTGTAAAGTCTCAATATCTTTAGTACTGTGCAAAGTTATTTTGTTTCAGTAGTTTGCAAATTTCTGATTTGTAAACTGGAACTTGAAACCAAAGACACTGAGATTAAAATATGCTTTTAAGCCAATAATTTCTAAAAATATAAATCTCCAGATTTTCCATCAGTTATTATAGTTACAATGCCTGTTAAGTCTTTAAAAGAATACTATAAGTCCTCACTACTACTTCTCTGGAAGAGTAAAATTTGTCTATATGCTATTAAGGAATGCTAGCAAGAAATACTGGCTGTGTGAATATTTGACTCAGAAAAGAAAAGTTAAAATGGGTTTTAGTTGATGTAATGATATTAGTTAAATATTTATTTTATTGCCTAGGCCAAAAGAAATCAGAGAGGAATTTGGTGCCCATCAATGTGGAATAGTGACAATCAATTCAATTAGTATTTGTGCACAAAAATGGATTTTCAAATTTATTGAGAAATTGGGATAAGATCAAATAGTCTTTCCAAATCACAATTTGAGTGATTTGCATGGAAGAACATTAAAGCTGGAGCGATTCCATTATCAAATAAGATAAGATACCAGTGGACTTGTTCTCTTGTTTCAATAAAAAGATTGAAGAGGCAAGGCTCCATCAGTTTACTGTACCATATTTTCATGCAGTTTCTAATAACCTTTTCTCACCTGTCCAAATTGTGTTTCCATATTGGTATTACTCTCATTGCAACCCAAGGCTTTAATTTTTTATTGTTGAAAATTATATAGTAAGAAGTATTCTTGCGAATGAGAGTGATGATGATGGTGAACCAAACGAATACAACTTGAACGACAGTTTTATAGATGATGACGAGGAGGAAGAGTGTGATCCTACTGATGAAGATTCTGATTGGGAACCAGATTGTCAAGATGATGATGAAGATACGGACATGCTTCTCAAAGAAGCACATGATTTTGTTAAAACCAAGAGCTAACTGCATTCAAATATTTTGATAGAGTTTATAAAGCATCATGAAACATGTATCCCATTAGGTAATAATGTCACTTTTTAAATAGTGACTTACTTTAATTTTACTTCATAAAATTGGATTATATATGTACATTTTCAAAATTTCATGACTCCACAGCTTGTGAAAATATCTTACATGTTAGGGAGTACACAAGATTTCTGGATTAATATCATTTTTGTAGTGATAGGCTTTGTGATTTAAAATTATGAGTGCTTTCCTAAACTTTGTATTAACACATTTCATTGCACATATGGATAAATAATAACTCCATATTGGTAATGCACTGATTTGGATTTAATTTCTTTATTCAGTCAGGCTGATAATAAAACTGTAAATAGTAACTGCATTTTTTTGTAATATGCTGTTTAACATTACAAGTGGTATTGTTTCTATTTGAGAAGAAAGTATATAAATTTATTCTGAAAGACAATTATGTTCCCAATCTCTCTTCATTATTTTAATTTTTCTGAAGCAATGTTTGAACTATTACATTCCGTTGGCTGAAGCTGAAACAAATCCTAATTTGATCAACTCAACACTGCAACATAAAATGTCTGAATTGCACTTTGAATCTGTTGTATGCAGATAATAAGTATGAATATCTGATGTTTCAAGAAAAGATTCCATCTGCCATTCTTCTGGGCAAAAGCAGTCAACTCTGGCAGACACTAGTATCCAAAGTGCAGTATTTTCCTAAAATGTCAGAACTGTATTGCAAGACCTTTACAGTTACAAATCTTAGCTCTTAAGAGCTGGGAGTCAGTAGCTCTTCATGTCTTGTATTAAACTGTAGTATGATTTGTATGGTTGGGCACTTCATGTTGTGCAAATCCAGCATTTCTAGACTTTGTGGCTTAGAGTAAGGTGGGAATCTAGCCAGTGTTCCATGGACTGTTTCCAAGTCACAAAAATAATACAGCAAGCTTTATTTTATTTGAGCTTTATTTTCAGAGCTTTTAATAGTGGTTTTAAGAGGTATGGACAGTTTTTTTATTCTATTTAACTTATGAATAAAATATTATTACAGGTTATTAGACTACAGGTTATTAGTAGCTATTAGACTAATAATCTTTTGCCTAATATTTTAAATTCATTTTTTTGCTCACATTTTTTGCAAATGGGGTCCAGAAGCACCAGAATTTGCTATGGAAAGTTTAAAATAGAGGTTTTATTTACTTAAATAGTTTATTCTGTTTACCTTTGCTTGTCCCTTGTTATATTACTACATCAAAGAAAATATAGTTTGATTAGCAGTCTTAGTATTACAAAATAAACTTTTCATTTTCTTGATTTAAAATAGACCGCTTTACAACAGAAGTTGTACTCAGATTGATGCAGACTAATGAAAATCTCTTAAACTCAGCAGGATCTTCTTACAAGCAAAGTAACTCTGGGATATTATGTAAGAATTGAGTCAAAAGCATCATAAAAATTTATAGACACACATTCTGGGCCATTTTATGAAAGACTCATCAGGGAAACCTTATTAAAGTAAAAATGTTTATTAGATCCATTCACAACAACACAGGAATTCTGATCTGGGTCTCCTTCTTACCTTTGTACAAGGCTAGTAGAGAAACATTGGCTACTTTGACAACTTTGAAGTGAACTCCAGGAATGTCTCCAACAGCATGACCCTTCCGACCGAAGCCAGCAACCAGGACTTCATCTTTCTCCTCAATAAAATTCAAACAGCAATCATTGGGAACAAAAGCTGTAATCTTCTTGCCATTCTTCTTCTTCTTTTTTTTTTAAAAGTTTTATTAATTTTCAAAACACACAAGTCATCATTATCCATTACATATTTAAACCTTTTTCCATTATAAATTTAACAAGTCAGATGAACTATAATTCTGTTTTAAACCATTTCCATATAAACATACAAAAACCTCTTATCCATTTTCTCTTTATTTCTCTACTCTTATTCCATTTTATTATAATTATTTCGTCTATTTCTTTCTGACTTAGTTACCATTATTCTCATTCTATATTTCTGCAAGGTTTCATTAATTCTCCCCCCCCAAAAAAACATATACACAACACACAAAACATAAAAAAAAATCTTTTTGGAAAGTAACTTGGACCCAGGTATCTCTTTCTTCATGGACTTCAACTGTATTCATGCTCATATTACATATCATTACTTATTTTATTTACCATTCTAAGTCTTCTATATTAACTTCTCCCCATATTTCACTCTTTTTAATTCTATCTTAATTAATCTTAATTTGAGTCATTATATTTGTATCTTTTGTCCATTCTTTATTGTACCTTTGTCTCATTCCTTATAAAAAAAAAAGAAATTTCTCCTGAAATCACTAATCAGAGTATGATGCCTTTCTATCTCCCCACTAAATTAATCAAGTTAATCTTTAAAATAACACCCAATACCCAATCCGATTTTGCTTGGTACATTCTAACTGAATAATACATCCAGAATAATTAAATACATAGTTAAACAATAAATCTAAATATTAAAAACAAATACTATAATAAAAATTTTATAATAACATCAATACCATAATCTTATTAAACTCTTTAATTAAAGCTCAATATTCTAAATCTCCCCTCATATTATTTAATTTTAAAACCAATCATTATTAACATTTCAACATTTTAATCTCTTATCAACTCTTAAGCCATTTAAGTTTTCTATTTCTAATACAATACTACAATATCATCTTATGTACCTTGCAAAATCTCTTTGCAGAAATTATACTTATCCTTTATCCCTAAAAAAGATTCCTTTTTTCCCATTTAATTTCAAAACTTTGTAGCTTTTCTCCACCTTTTCCCTTTCTTTCTTCTCCCAACAAACCTTTCTACCCCCCCTTCTTCTAGCCTCTGCCTTACTGGCTTCCCTTCTCTGTCGTATTCCTCTTCCCTTTTGTTTACCATCCTTATATTGATTTTGCACCTTGTTTTTCCCTTTCTTAAATGTTTTTTTAAATCTTAAGTCCTTTATTTCTCTTCTCTTCCCTCTTCCTTCCCTCTTGGTCGAGTTCTGATATTTATTAAAGATGGCTTCCTCTCCTTCTTCTTCTTCTGCTGTCTTCATCTGTTGCAATGTTTGTTGATAGTTAATGAGCGCCATTTCCAAAAAAAGGCAGGCTTCTTTCAAACCAGCTTTACCATTTTTTTTTTGCTTGCTCATAGTCCCTTCTCAGTTCCTCAATAGAAGGAGCCATTATAAATCTTTTCTTTTCTTTTCTCTTACAACAACCAAAATGTTCCAAAGGAAAAATAAAACAATCCCAAAGTTATCAATCAGTCCAAACCAAGACAGAGTTCACTCTCTCCTCCTAGGGTAGTATCAATCAGAAAAAAAGAAAGTCCAAATCTATTTCTTAAAATCTTATTGCAATATATTTTAGTCTTTCAATCCTTAAGGCATCTCCTCCAACAAAGTCTTAGCATACAAATATATTTTTTTTTAGTCCTCTCTTTTCCCACTCATCGCTTAGAGCCAGTTTTCACCTAAAAAAAAATAGGTTTCTTAATATTCACTTTTTATTCCGTAGAAAAAGAGGTTAAGCTATCCTTTCAGCACCATCAAACTGCCGCTTTTTTCCTCTTCTCGAAGGTATCATTCAGAAAGTCATACTTTTCAGGAATTTTGTTATATATGTCTTAGAGTCCTAGGAACCAAGAAAAACTTTCTCCTTTCAAGCACTTTCTCCACTTCCTCCTGCGCATTCTTACCCGGCTGCCAGCTTCTTTGTGGCGGCCATTACGGACCGCCGCTGCACCGTCCTGGGAAAAGGGGGTTCTGCCGGCCGGGGAGGGGGTCTGCAACACCCCCAAACCCCTCTCCGTATCCCCCTACCTTCAGCTGCCCCTGCAGGGCAGCCTAGCTCCGTACCCGTCCGGATCGGAGCCCCAAAAACGGCTAGCGTGGCAGGGATCGCGCAGCTTCGCAAATCCCTGCCGCTCGCGAAGCCGACAAACCGGAAGTCGATCTTCTTGCCATTCTTGATAAGCTGAACTCAAACACACTTCCTAATGGCAGAATCTCTATGGTTCTATATAGGCATTTGAAGAATCCTTTAATTTCTCATAAAATATTTCTGAGTAATATATAATATGGTACATAGCAATAGCACTTAGACTTATATACCACTCTCTAAGCAGTTTACAGAGTCAGCATATTGACCCCAACAATCTGGGTCCTCATTTTAACGACCTCGGAAGGATGGAAGGCTCAGTCAATCTTGAGCCAATGAGACTTGAACTGCTAAATTGCAGGCAGCCAGCAGTCATAGAAGTAGTCTGCAGTACTGCACTCTAATCACTGCACCACTGCATTGATAGGTGGAAAAGATGCAGTACATTTAAAAAAAATGTTTCTCAGCTAGGAAATTATATGCAAAATCAGAAATTAATAACAAAAATGCAGTTCTTAAACCTAATAGAAAAACTATCAATGTGATGTGACTGGAATAAAAGTCAAAGTATGGTGTATTTGCAATTTCTAGAAATCTCATTCAGCTCAAGTCATTTTGAAATGTTCAATATGGCTGCACCCGATGGTTTGCTGAGTTACTATATGTAGTATTTTCAGCAGAAAGAAAAATGAAGCCCCAATTTTTTAAATAAATGAATGTGTGTGTCTGAACATGTGGAAAGTAAAATCTGCCTGTTCCAATAGACAGTTTTATTTTACACAGTGAAATATCAAAGGCTGTTTCTGCCAAAGAAAGTTATGTGATAGGAACTATATTTGTAATATGAAGGAATAAAAAAGACATCTTAAAATACAGTGAATCTCATCACATCTCATATTAATTACTGAATGGAAATCTAGCTGTGTGTTAATGCCAGAAAATGGGATTTAGTTCAATTTTTCTCAGTGGAGAACATTACGCTAAGATAAAGGAATAAAAATTCAGCCTAAAACCTCTAAGTATTTCAAACTATTATTGAGACTATTAACATTAACTGATCAACTGCCATTTATCAAAAAAGATAAAATGATATCGTGTAATGAAATAAATTAGGATGGAATTTTCTGGTTTATCTATAAAGCGTGTCTGTATATCAGGCTCATATTCACTGCCTAATTAACTCAAATATCTATTTTCAACATTTCTAATGAGGCAACTCTACAACATTCCTTTCAAACAGATGTCTCCTCATGGAATAATTTGTCTTAAATTCCAAAATATCTAGGGTGCAGAATGAATAAGGATTAACTAGGCAGAAAGGAAAGATGGGAGCTAAAACTGTTGTTTATGTGATAGAATTAGCACATACAATTTCATTGTGTAAATGTGTTTTAAAATGGCTGCCAGTAATTCAAAGTTGGGTCAGAACTGACTGTATCCATTTAGAGCAGGGATTTTCACACTTTTTCATTTTACAGAACCTGTTTGCTAAAACAAAAATCCCCAGGACCATTATTTAAGAAAGGTGAGGGTTCTGAAAGTTAGCTAATAAGCCTTCCTCTTTCAACTATATCTTAGTGGCTAAAAGAAAAAAAGTCTCTGCAAGGGACTGATGGAGACAAAACCCTTTCTACAAAGGACTAAATTCTTGTCCCTTGTGGAGAAATTATTTTTAAGAGTTCCTTTTAAAAACTCTTAGTTTTCTCTCTCTTAGTTTCTTGAAGAGAAT